GCGCTTTAGACCACTCGGCCACGCGGGGCCCCTCTGCTGACCTGCAATTTCGACTACCGTAAAACTGATGATTCCGTTTTATATGAATTTTTTAAAAGTAAATTTGTATAAACAAACACAATTTTGAAACTGTATTAAAATTAAAAAAATGGGTATCTGTAAACTGTCAGAATGAATGGTATTAAAGTTAATTGAATTACAATTTTTTAAAATGTAAGTTGAAAAAAGTGAAACAAAAATTTGAAGTTAGGCGACCACTTCTAGAAAGAAAACTTGCACAAGTCAGGTGTAAGCTGTAACTAACTCAGTAAATTGATTATTGATATGAATAAATAAAACATGTATCATAGAAATAATGTGAACACATAAATGTGTGTTAGATGATGCAGAACCCAAAATTATTGAAATTCTTAGAATGTTATTTCCTTAATTGTCTAGACTTGTTTGAATATTTGAGCATGCTTTTTGTAAAGGAAAACCTTATGTAAGGATATTTTTGCAGCTTGAATCTTTACTGACAGGGCCAAACCAAACAAAAAAAATATTGTTTTTCTAATTGGTCCACTGCCCGTTTCTCATTGCTGACCCAAACTTGTCTAAGCTTCCTTGCCCAGACTTGAGCATATAAAGAGAAGAAATCTTTCTGCATTTAGCTAGGTTTAACCGTAATGATGCAGTTTATGTTTGAAACAGCTGATTGAAATTTAAAATGTATTTTGTTTAATTTATTTTTATTCTTATAAACATGAATCATACCATGGCATACACTATTTCTCATAAGATTGGGGAAAAACTTGTTTTCCAAGAAGGAGCAAGTGGGTTTATAATGAAAGATATCAATGTAAATATTTGATAAAATTTTTGAATGGGGTGATTTTTGTTTTGTCAAAGGGCGTCCCTAAGAATTTAATTGATGAGAAGAACAAGCAAGGGTGGGTTGGTGTGGCAAGTGGGTCTTTATTCTCTCATTTGGATTACTATTGATTTTAATTATTGAGGAGTTAACTTGGTTTTGTAACCCCTGCATGGGTCATTCAGTAAGCTTGCATTGCAATATCAGATTATGGTGAAGGGAAGTAACACCAGCATAGTTCAAATATCTTTGCTGATATTTTTAAAGGAAACTTATACAACTATAAATATTATAAACATGCAGATACGTGACTACATAGTAACTTGTTTCATTATTTTTAGTTTTGCTGCAGATCGCATAGAATTTATTACATTTACCATCTGTACTCGCTTGTAAGTTGAGTCCATCTGCCAAGTGCACAGACTTGGATCTGCCAGTGCATCAGGTGTCAGCAGATCTGGGTCTTTGCAGTTGGTAAGAATGATCGGTAGAACTAATGACATAGACCCGGGACTGCAGGTACATTATGCTACAGCAGATTGGGATCTATGTTGTTTGCAATTTGACTCGACTTGTGAGTATATCAAATTTTACATGTTCTCTTTAGGATGACATTCTTGTAACATTTTTGTGAGAATTTTAGACCAAAAAGTATCCGGAACAGACATTTAAATAGCTGATTTGCCTGGCTCCAGGTTTTAAAGGAATGTACTGATTGTTAGATGTGTTTATCACTGGATAAATATCATAGTATCTTGGTGCCTACTACAAGATAGCCTGAAGTTGAGAAGGTCTGAATACAGTAATTAGTGTAAAAGGTCCTCTGGCTACAGATAGGTACAAAATTTTAAGGGGATTGGGCTTTTGTACAGAGCCAAATACAGAGCTGCCTCATTATAAAGTCTCCATATGTACTGAAGCCCCTCACAGCATAGGTATAGTTGTTGATTCCATTCAGTTTATCAAATTCACCATTTGTCATTTCTTCTTAATTAATTACATATAATTTTAGTTCTGGCTTCATAAAAAAAACAAATTATTATTTGAGTTCACACCATTAAATACATTTGTTTGGATACACTATTAGGACATAACATCCCTCATTATATAATTCCCTCCTTATATGATTGCCATGAACAGCAGTATACAGTGCCAGGTATTTTACGGTCAAAATCCATCATTATTCTACTTAAGAAATTTACTTTTGTCATTGTTATTCCCAGATGGTAAAGTATATTTTACATATGATTGGCGTAATTTAAATTCCCAATCCCCTCAAAATATATTGCAGGAGTTTCTATCATTGCTCCCAAAAAAGCTGGACATTATTGGTTGAATGTTGATAACTTGAGATCATTGTTTGGCTTCAAACACAATTTTCAGTACAGGTGCAGTTAGATTTCTATTCAATAACAATGAGTAGTTGACTGGTAAAGTAAATTCATTCAAGAGATAGAGGGTGTAGTTCAATATATGTAATTCTATGTAATGTTATGGTTGACAATTTTTTTAGACCATAAGAAAACATTGCAAGTTTACAGAGAAATTTATTTATTTGAGTTTAGTACAATGCTTAGCTGGCAGACGTTAATGTATACTTTTTTATCATACAGTCTAGTGATGTTTACATCATGGGAGGGTAAATGTGACTAACATCTTCTGATATCAGTTTACTGCCTAGAAAAAAAAACACATCAAGAAATTATTTTTATAAGAGTTGAACCATAATACGATTTGATATTATGATTATCGATAAAATACTATTTCTGATCTTTGTGTAAAAAAGTTTGCTATCTTGACATCATCATTGGTGAGAGAGCATTACTGTTAATTGTCAGTGTGATTAAAATTGGATCTCCACTGTTCTATGTGAAGATTTGAGTGACTGCTTAGGGGTCATGTTCCAGTGACCTTTGAATTAGCCAATGGAAATATGAAAGTAAATCAGATTATTTGGTACACTTCGATGCTCTTCAGTCATACTATTCATTATCCCAAACATGAAGATATAACACTTGTCAAATTGTGTGATAAAAATAGTGATTTTGGTTTTAACATAATTCACCATAACATGACCCCTGAGCTGTCAAAACTTCACATAGGACAATGGAGATTTGATTTTAATGAGGTTGTGTTAATTTTGGAAAATTTGGACTCTTTTGTATACAAGAAAAAGAACTAAATATTTTTTTTGTTAGAAGTCATTTCTTTCCATTTTTCTTGTAATGGGTCTGATCTGTGTTCAGATACAATTTTTCTTGCACAGTATATTTTAAAATTGTGTATCCCAAGAACAAATATAGGGAGAGTCTCTTTCATGCTGTATACAATGGAACTCTTATAAATTGAGAAGTTAAATATGTAGGCATTGTCTTTGAAAGAATTTGTTTTGCTTTTATTTTTTTTTTAGCCATGGGATGAAATTTTCATTTTTGAACCACTATATCTTGCTCAGATCAATTGTTTGTGAGCTTACCTAATGAAACCTACGTTAATGATGCCTACTTATTATTTAAGCCATATGCTTGTCTTCTATCACCGAAAATTTTCAAATGATTCACTTTGTTCGGTCTAACTTGAACTTATTCATTAATTTAGTTGAATGAGGAAGTAGGGATCAGTTATATGTTGTGTAATTCCTGCTTTAATGTGCCAGGTGGACTTTAAATAGTTCCATTGATTTTTATAAAGAAAATGTTATTTCCCCTGAAAGTTATGTACCTCTAAATTTTAAAGCAAAATATATGGGATGAATGGAAATCTTTAAATATTGTTGATTGTATTTTTTTTTTTGAATATCCATTTTACATGGTTTATTAAAAATGATATTTTTAAGGTAATTACCATGTATAATTGTTTATAATCTGCCATTGCATCATGTGCTAGCAGATCTGATTGTGTGCAGTTAGGAGCAATTATTAGAACCTAGTTGACACTGATCTACAGGCACATTCTGCTCAGGATCTTTTTTGTTTACAATTTGCCTTGACATGTAAGCAAGTACACAAGGTATTGTTCATTGGGTTGTTTGTGGTTTGTAGCAACCATTAACTAAGTACTACGTTAAATAGTTAATTTATAGAAGCACATTGTGACAGGATGTTTGCCATAAAATATAGTTGAATTAAAAAAAAGAAATCAGTGTCCTCACAAGAAAACAATTAGATGTAAAATATATTGTGTGTAAATTTAAATTCATGCTTAATATGATAAATAATTAAAGAAATGTTTCTGATAATTTCCTTTTCTTAGTGACTTCTGTAAAAAAGTTTAATTATATTAAGGTTATTTGAAGTCCAATATCTTATTACCTTTGAAATTATCACCATAGTGTACAACTTTTACACATTTAAACTACCTAGTTAAAGTGGCATCAGACTTTTAAAAATGAAGTTTTTCTGATAGTGTTAGCAATATTTTCCACCTTACGCAATTAATAGATTTAAAGATAAAGAATACTTAGGAACAAAATTAGGTTAGTTTTCAATAAGACATTACATGGATTTAATAAATGTTACCTTGATTTAATTCAAAACATGGCACCTGTTTTTTTTGTGCAGAAAATTTGGTATATTTATTTCTGACTTTAAATTTGCAACAATTTGAATCTTCATAATTTTGGAGTATGTAGATAATGGGGACCTGTTTGGCAATATCTAAGGACCCAAATTTGAATCCCTGATGCGTTTTTTGTTTAGTTACTAACATGGCAAAACTGAATAAAATTTTGTGCTGCTAGAATTTAGAAGCTTATAATGAATTCTTTTATATGACAGTTCCATGCTTGTTTAAAAGCAGTAATCAATTTTTATGTTTGTTAACAAATTAGTTGATAAAAAAAATAAATGTGAACAAGATTGGGATATATTTGTTAATTCTTCAACTGAATAAGCCTGATGCATGCTACTGCATGTGTGTCTGTGATTTGGATTTTTAACATGGCTTTAAACAATGTTTAGTTATGATGTCTGCAGTGGGGGAGTTTTTATTGCTGTCTACCACTGGGGCATCATGCTGCAGACATTTAGCATAATGTCCCACCCAATCACATTATCCTGACACCAGGCCAGCCAGTCCTAACACTAACCTCTTAATGCCAAGTGCCAATCGAGGCAGCTGTTAGTACCATTTTTGTAAGGCTTTGGTATGAATGCTGGGGATTGACCCCACAACCTCCTGCATCCAAGGCAGATGCTCTAACCACTAGGCCACTGGAGCGATACCTACTGCATGTAACATGATGACAGAAGGAGGTAACCTGTTTACTCCAGGATGAGTCACATGTTTTGATTTGGGACCTGAACTTTTTAAAAGTGAATTTTAGAATTTGACTAGTTTATAAACTTTTTAAAAAATATTTTTTTGCTGATGTGCCATTAAGACTGCTATTAACACATTTACACAAAGATACACATGCAATCATAGATATGTACATGTATACAAACATACATACATTCATACATACATACATACATACATACATACATACATACATACATACATACATACATACATACATACATACATACATACATACATACATACATACATACATACATACATACTTACTTACTTACTTACTTACATGTTAGCAAATAAAAACAACATTGGTACTCCTAACAAACTGCACATCCATCTCTTATGGCACAAGTGACGCAGATCTGAGTCCATGCAGTTTGCTGTTGGATTCATATGGTAAGCAAGCATATATGGCATGTTGTGGTTCATCTGATGAAAATATATGTGGTCTAGCAGCCAAGGATAAGTTGAAAATATATAAAGTTCTTACAATTTTCCATAACTTGCTCAAAATTATGTATAGTTTGAGGAGGAAAATCCTGATTTTTTGATAAAGTATATGAAAATGTTAATTCCACATAGAAAAATAAATTTATCAAGCTCAGTTGATGCCATTGTCAGTGTATTGATTTGTGTTTGCCTTTTGAAAGAAAACTACAGGTCATGTACATGTAGGATTAAAAAAATCATTATGATCTAGATTTATTAACGTTAGTGTGCTTTGCAAGCTTTAGAAATTAGTTTGTCATGTATACTGTATTGGCTAATAATAATAAAGATTTTATCAAAAATGCAGTATTTTTACAAATACAAATATACAAGATCACCAGGTAGAAACTAGACTTCCATGAACCATTGTTGATTGAAGATAAATCACCTGAAGTAGAAATAAGAGCTACAACTGAAAAGTTTGCTTTCATTGCTCTGGATAATTCATGATTATTAGTAATTTACCATTTTTTTTTAATATAAATATCTTCATAATTTTTGGCAGTATCACACTCCCTTCATCAGCAACTAATGTTGAACATGTGACCATTATAAAAGCAGTATGATATTGCTGAAAATTGTTAACTCTGAAGATATTTATGCTCCGATTATGGGAAATTAATTATGATCAGAAATTAAAGCTGTGCTTTCACCAGAAGTTTTTTAAAAATAATCACAACAATGAGCCAAGCAAATCAGATAGTGTTTTATGTTCTGGATATTCAGCCATGATAAATACATACAAAAGAAATGCTACCACTGAGACATGTTTTAGACTATTTTCTATTATTTTAGGTTCAATCTTGCTAAAAGGAATAGATAAAAATAAAGACCTATGTGCAGACAAAATGTTGGTTTGTGATGGCAGCTGAATATTACGGAGTAGAAGATGATGGGTATGATGATGATGATGCCCAGGAATTAGGACAGGCTTATGAAGACCAAGATATGCCACCTCAAAAGCATGATATTTACTATGGTCGACAGGAGTCGCACCAGGATGAAATAGTCGAACAGGTTGAAAATAACTATGGAGATACAAATGAAAACCCAAAGTCGTACAAACGATCAAAATCACACAATAAACATCACCGCACATCACAAGATAGTAGTTCGCCCACGCCAGAAAATTTGCCATATAAGAAGAAAAAGAGGGATGAGATTGTAAAAGTTAAACCAAGGGCAAGTTCACCAGATTCAGATGCTGAAGATGGTGAAATCCTTGAAGATGGAGAGATAGCAGATGAGGATGAGGCAGGCCAAGAGGAAGGTAGTATTTCTTTTATGTAGAGAAAACAATTACAAATTAGGGATTATTTTGATTTCAGATGAAACTTTAAGTTTTTTTATCGGGAAAGTCCAAGTTGAGGACCACTCAAAGAATCTGAAGTCAGTATGCTAAAATAATTTTGTTTGTAAAATTTGTTCCCAATGGAGACATGCTAACAAAGGAATTCAAAAATGTTTTTTAAACAATATGAAAGCATTGCTTTAGTTGCTTCAGAATTTTATCTGGTTATCTACATACATATACCAAAATTTATACCAAAATTTCATTTGCTAATCTGGATAACTTTACTAAGGCCTAAAGAAAATAGCTTTGTTTTCTGATTGACACACAGTACTATTTGTGTCTGTTGACCTTATAATTTTTTTGTCTCTATGATTAAAAAATAGCAAATTCTAGTTTTTCTGAATATTGTTACTGATCCAGATTAAAGGTTTTGGTAACAGCATTTGTCTTTATTCTTTTTAAAAGTTCAAATTTCTCCCAGTATTTTTAAGTGCCAACTGCACATCGAACAGAAGTAAGATTCTGTAATGGCTCCCATTATGTTCAGTTTGCTAATTTTGGTCAACTTTAGATTTACAGCAGGATGTATCTGACAGACGTAAACTATCAAATAATTATATAGAGTTTATATCTGACATATAACATGTTGTCAATTAATAATGCAAAAATCTTTTCCCAAAGGAATGAAAATAGGACATGCAAGTGTGATTAACTTTGATTAATGGAAGGGTGAAAATTAGTGAAGATTGTGGCACAAAATGAATGCCAGATTAAACCTCATTTGCATTGGATTGGGTGGGGTGGGGTGCAAGACTGAAAATGCCTCATTGTATGCATTGTAGCAGTAACACTACCTCATCTATCAGTTTGTTCAACATGAATGTTATCTGTCATCAGATGTGAAGTCTTACATGATATAATACATTTTTATACAGATCCATCTGGAGGCACAGAAAGTGAAACTGTACATAAGTCCAAGGGAGATAATTCTGGCAGTCCAGAAAAGTCTCATCATGGAAGCCAAGAGGAAGAAGGAGACAGTAGAGATGCCAGGAGGGAAATCAGGAGAAAAAAGAGAAAAGAAAAGCGGCAGAAGAGGCGGCAGTCTAAAGAAGACAAGGACAAGGAAAAGGACAAGGTGAAGAGAATAGTAGAAGAAAAAAATTAAAAATTTTTTTTCAACAGAGCAAGAATTTAACATTTTTTTTTCTGTTCCATTGTTTGAAGAGGTTTTTAAATGATCAAGTTAAACATACAAAAATATAGTTGTTTTTAAGGACATGAAAAAGATCATATGTATTCTTTATGGACAATTGCCTTTTAGGTCAAAGGTCCAAAGATTACAAGAGTTTTATCCTTATTGAATAGACATAGATATGTAGGGTGTCATTAAATGCAGGTTTCACTAGGTAGATTATATTTAAGACTGGAAAGTGTGGAAGATAAGCAATTTTCTATTTAAAACACTACAAAATGGCAGGAAAGTTTGTTCATTTTTAACAAAGTCCACCTTGCTGGAAACCTGACATAATCACTTTAGTGTCCGTGTGCATATCTGTCCATGCATATATCCACACCTTTGATTAACCTGAATATTGAAAGTTTTGATCTCACTGGCTTGTAATACAGGTGAATATAGTTACTCCTTTTTTTTCCTCTTACTGGATGGCTTTCTTTGACCTTTTTTGTTTTAGAGTGCAACTCTCAAATTACTGATTTAACTGTAAAGCCTCATGAGAGACTGCCCCTTCTGCCAGCAGAAATGGTCTCAAGATCAGTGTTTCTCATAACAGGTTTTTACAAAAAGTCCAGTTTCCAAGGTTGATTTAAGCTCACGAATGAAAAGTAAGTTACTGTACATATTCAATTCTTTGCTAATAATTATTCTAAACTATTGTATGCATTTGTCTAAAAACAAAATTATTTAGCAGCAAAGATATACATTTATCATTAAAGGCAAATTGCATTAATATCTGAAGATGATGTGTACAAAAATTAGCATATGAAATCATTTTTATTTTTCCTCTAATCCTGTATAACTTCCTAAATTTGTTTTACCAACATTTAAACTCTTTTGTGAGTGGTCTCCTCTTTTTCACTTATTGCAGTTACAATAATTATATCTGAAGCATTAAAATTTGTGTCTTTTTAATTTGAGGTTCTGCCCTTGTGATAAACATGCTCAGTACTCAATTGTAATATTAACTGTAATGACAGTTTCTGACCTTGCTTTGGGAAAATCTGAAAAATCTTAGATGTATATTGTATAACGACCAATGAACGAAATTAAAAGAAATTGTTATCTCGTCTAGAAACAATAATTTATTTGGCAACTAAAATCAGCAGATTAATTCAAAGATGCCATAAAGTTGTTACCTCCATCAACAAAGATTGTAACTGGTCGCACCAGCTTGAATATAAAACGGCTGGGTGTGAGGGATATAATTACTATAACTTCAAAAGATAAATCAACAAACAACACAGGCCTTTAACACTCAATTGAATATGGGAAATGATTCCCACTTGCTGGTTTAATAGATGGCCTTGTTCACCCTGAAGCAATACAGATTAACTCCAAAGAGGATGTACCCAAACATTGCCTTGACTAAAGGATTACAAGGACAATTTTTGGCATACACATTAGTCTGGTGTACAGTCTAACACAAATGTCACTATATGCTTGACTTGCCAAATTTACAAGTGGGTGGATAGACCTTTTTGTTTCTGTGAGTGTGTTCATTTTGATCTTTTTGATAACACTCTTTACTATGCAAGCAGTCATTTTTACAAATTCTTGCATCAAAGTAGGTGGTGTTTGTCTCTTTTCTCATGATATGATGGTCATTGATAAAGCTAGAACAATTCTTCATGTACTTTAGTCTGGTTTACCAACTACAGTATATGACACTACATGCATGACTGATAAAATTTCAGCAATCGGTAACCAGCTTTATTTTAAAAAATGGTACAAGCATTGTTAGAGAGGATTAAATAAACATTTTTTTCTCAATTTTTTCGATGCGGTTGGTCATAGCAGTGTTGAAATGCAATCTTTGCTAACACATTATGGTAACTGGTTGCGTTCATCAGGTGGTTGCTCATAATTTGTGTTGGTGCTGGTATTTATAAT